GACAGGGAGGGGCCAGCCACAACTTCTTATGTTAATGATTTTCCTTCTCAAATCTGCTTTTTTGGGTTTTGGTGGTTTGTTTTTCTTTTTTTAAGCTAAGGGCCTCACCAAAACCAGATTGCGTTTAGGACAAAAAAGGAGAGGCTAGACAAAGCTCAAATGGTGTGCAGCATTCTCTTGCTACAGGGGGCAGCAGTATCCCTGGGCAGCAGTGTCACTGCTGGCAGCTCTGCCCCAAGGTGGTTTGACCACGTAAGAGAGGGTGCTGCACAGGAGTGCTCTGCTAGAGCAAACCTTCTTATCTAGCTCCCCTCTTTTTCTAAACCCTTCCTGTGACAGCCAGCTGGGCAGCTGCATAACTTGCTTTGGCCATGAACCTCTCCATAAGAGGTTTACTGAAAACGTGCTTATGGTTTATTTGCACTTTCAGGCCATACTGGAAATCAAGACAAACGCAGTGTTTGCCAGTACTCAGCACCACCTCCTTGCCTGCCTCGTCTGCTCCATCTGCCGTCTTGGGACTGCAGCATTTGCTGCTGTGTCTGTTTGGAGGCTTTATGAACAACTGCATGGGCAGAAGAGGGTCCTTCCCAACCTTGCGAGCAGTACCGGGGTTTTTCCTGCCTGGGACATGCAGCATAAAGCAGGCTTGGCTGTGTGTTGCCCTTGCGCTTCCCTGGAGCCCCTTGCTCCTCCCCAGCAGGTCTGCAGAGCACCTCTAGCACTTGAGTCTTGGGCAAGGGTTCCTCGGACCCGTTTTCCCAAATTGTGTCCATCTTGACAGTGACAGTTGTGTAACATCTTATTCCTGCCAACACCCTTGATAAAGATCCGTGGCCTGGAGCAGGCTCAGAAACAGAAGCCTGTACTTTTTGTTGGAGGCACAGAGCTTTAAAGCTTAGCAATAGATGGGACCATCTGTGCTCCTCAGTTCCTCCTGCTAACCAAAAACCCCAGGTTGAGGAAAATGGGAAGCTGCCTTGCAGCAGTGGTGTTGGGAGAGGCCGCGGGCTTCAGCAGAGCCAGAACTTCTGTTTGGATAGAAACTGAGTGAGTAACTGGGAGCAAGACTCTGACTGAGAGGCTGGCTCGGTTCACCCAGCTGCCTCCAAGAGCTTGTGAAGTGCTGAGTCAGTGCTGTGCTCTGGAGATGGTGGTGTGCCTTGGCTGTGCCATGGGATGGTGGAGCGCCTTGGCTGTGCCATGGGATGGTGGAGCACGCATGTCCCGTTGGACCTCTTTGATCCTTTCTTTTCGGTTCATTCATAGAGCAACTCTCCTGTTGCCTTTCCTTTGGCTTTTGTGACTGGCTGCTACAGCAGTGCCATCCTGTTCCTCACCTTCCTACTGACTTTGGAGAGCAGAAGAGGATTGCCTCACTGCATAGCCCCTAGCTCTGTTTTCCTCTCTTTTTGCTGGAGAATCCCCAGCAGTTGCAACAGGTCTGGTGTTAACATTCAGGTTTTGCTTTCCATGTTTATGCACTAGTGTTCTTGCTCCTGACAGATACAGGGACTGTCCTCAGGCTCCTCTGTGCCCAGCTCAAAAGAAACCATTTTTCTAGGAGTGCCTGGGCTCCTGTTTCAGCTCAAGGGAGCAGAAAGAACATTTTTCAGTGTCTGATTTCCTGAACCAGTGCAGCCCGGGGTCAGGCAGTGCCAAGACTGGTGTGCATAGTGAGATGCTGCACGGCACGGTGCCCTTTGGGTCATAGCATTTCAAGCAGGGGCTGAGCAAGGAGCCCCTTCTGGCAGCTGATCCCCACACACAACGTTTGGGAGCCTTTCAGGAGGAAGATGTGACCCTACAAAACCCCCAGCCTGCAGATGTTTTTCCTTTTTTTTTTCTTTTCCTAGCCACATGGGTTTACAAACTGCAATGAATCCCTGGTAAGGCGTTTATTTAGCTCAAAAAAGAAAAAAAACCCAAACCATCAGGAAATGGCCCATTAATGCACTGGAGATAGAATCAAGCTGGAAAACTCCAGGCTGGGCTTTAACAGTGGAGCCCATGA